TTTTACGTCGCTTCGAAGTCTTCTTTCTTCCCTTCTTCACATACCCAACGAATCCACTCTAATCCCTAATTATCCAATTCCACACTCGAGATCTCTGATTCGACAATGGCGTCTCCCAATCCCTACACCAAGCGTCGCTCTCCGCCTAATGTCGTCGTACCGCCGTCTACACAGCCTCGGTCTAAATCCACCGGAGGAGGATTTTTCTGTAAGTCTGTTCTGTTCGCTCTCTTTCTCTTCGCCTTGCCGTTGTTCCCTTCTCAAGCTCCTGATTTCGTCGGTGAGACTGTGCTCACCAAGTTCTGGGAACTGATTCACCTCCTATTCGTCGGCATTGCTGTTGCTTACGGTTTGTTTAGCCGTAGGAATGTTGAATCCGGTGTTGATTTAAGGATGAATCGTGTAGATGAGTCTTCTTTGTCTTATGTATCTAGGATCTTCCAGGTTTCTTCTGTTTTTGACGAAGAGTTTGATGATAATTCTTGTGAGTTTGTTGATGTGAGGAGTGAGAGTGTGAGTGCTCGAGCTTCTGTTGTGGGGAAATCTGAGTCTTTTGTTGTTGAAAGTGAATTGGAAGAATCGTCTGAATTTGGTGAAACTAATGAAGTCCGAGCTTGGAATTCGCAGTATTTCCAGGGGAAATCCAAGGTTGTGGTTACTCGACCAGCTTATGGTCTTGATGGCCATGTTCTGCATCAGCCATTAGGCTTGCCGATTAGGAGTTTAAGGTCAGCTTTGAGAGATAATGCTGCTCCTCAAGATACCTCTTTTACTGATAACTGTGATGGAGCTGTTAACGGGGAAGCTGACTCATTATTGGCTGATGAGGTCTTGGCTGATCCGGCTTCACCTGTTCCATGGCAATCTAGACCTGAAATGATGGGAATGGGAGACAACTATCCTTCAAATTTCCAGCCTCTATCTGTGGATGAAACCCAGTTTGCTACTCTTAAATCCACATCTTCTCGGTCTAATGTTTCTTCTTCATCTCAAACTAGTGTTGCATCCCATATTCAGAACAGATTCTCGCCTTCTCGATCTGTTTCTGCAGAGTCACTAAACTCAAATGTGGAAGAGTTGGTCAAGGAAAAGAGTCTTCAGGGTTCATCACGGTCTAGTTCACCATCCTTGTCCCCATCACCTTCACTGTCTCCAACTCCACCATCGCCAGAACTAGTGATCGAGGATACTCACAGGCGTTTGCCAGAATTATTAACCGATGATACTCACAGGCGTGCCTCACATTCTCGGCATTACAGTGATGGTTCCTTGTTAGAGGAAGATGTAAGGCGGGGGTTTGAAAATGAGTTGGAGGGGAGTAAAGTCAGAGGCAGAAAAACAGAATCCTTCAGTAAGAAGGAACGGGGATCTAAATCGCTTAATTTGGCAGCTGAAAGTTCCCGGAGAGGGAACAAGTCTCGCAGATCCTATCCTCCTGAGTCCATCTCATCTTCCATTAGTGGTGCTGATGACTCCACAACTAGAAGACGGGATATTCAGCAAAAGAGTGATGTCCATTTGCTTGAAGCCAATATCAGGAAAGGACAGGAAGCTGACCATAACAATCTTAGGGTCAAAAAGGGAAGGAGTCAAGACTCTTTGGAGCTAACAGCAGAAGACTCTGCAAAAGATAAGAAGTTCAGTGAATCTTTTCCTGCTCTTGATGTAGTGTTCCAGCCAACAAATACTAAAGCTTCAAGGCGTGCAATGCATTCTTCACAAGGGGGACCTGACACTTTTCCGGAGAAAGCTGTCACAAGAAACTTAGAGGATGACTCTGAGGATTACAATAAGTCCAGGAAAAAGGACCTTCCTGGTAATGATAAGGAAGTGAAATCAAACAGTCCAAGACTTGAACCACGTTCTTGGAGAGCTTCCAGTAATGTATCATCGAGAGCAAAGTCCGTGAGGACCATAAGATCTGATCGTCATGGGAAAGGTTTAAAGACAGATGGAGATTCATCTGAAGACCGGACAGAAGCTAAAGTAGAAAGCCGAGGAAGTACGAAATCGAGAAGACAACGACAAGAAGAACTATCAATTATACTACACCAGGAGAAAAGTTTAGAAACTCGCGCTAAATCCGAGCCAGAAGAGGTTGCTATGGAAGAGCCCGAGGCCGAGCAGCAACCTCAAGTAACTTTCGAAGAGGAAGAAGAAGGTGCTTGGGAAAGCCAAAGCAATGCAAGCCATGACCATAATGAGGTTGATAGAAAAGCCGGTGAGTTCATAGCTAAATTCCGGGAACAAATTCGGTTACAGAAACTCATATCGGGTGAACAACCTAGAGGAGGAGGCACTGGTATTTTCAGAAACAGTCAATTCAGATGACACTCACCACCATTTATTTCTTCATTACTTGTATTATTGTAATTTTAATTTATCGGCATTGTTGATGAGAATCTGGTTGTCACTCTCTTTGTTTGAAGTTTATATTGTTGAATAAAAATGAATTTTTTACTTATTAAATGATGCACGGAGTCATTGTCCAAAAAACACCAAGTTAGTTTTTCGCTCATAATGTTTTCAGAAAACTCACCTTTAGCATAGCATCCAGCTTCTCATTCCTATATAGCACGAATAACTTCTCCCAATTGGCATTTATCGAGAGCCTAAATATCACATTGTGTCAGAATATTTGTCAAAGTAAATCAGAGAAGAATTACAGAGAAAATTTTGCAGGTGGGAGAAGCCGGGCCAGTGAAGAGGAACAAACACCACAGCCTCTTGCCGGGAAACGAGAGTGTGCTCCGATGAGAATATGCAGTATTTGTTAAACATAACTTGCTCCACAAGTTATCAGCAATAGGAGTGCAACGACACAAACTACTAGATGACTTCTGATCAGGAGGTGCCTGTGGTTGAATGATCGTTCTCTAAAAGTAGGTCCTCGTTTTCTTATGTACGCACGTTTGATTAAAGTTATATTGGGACTCTTGTTTGTAAAGACTTTCTCGTGAGGGTTGGTCCATGGACGTTAACTATAGTGCGAATTTCAAGTCAAGAATCTGAATTTCATTAAAGCGACTGAAGTACAAATATTTGTAGCCAACCTCAAACAGTATCCAACGATATATAAAGAAAAAAGAATCACTAAACATATAGAAGAATACCCTAATAAAGAAAAAAAAAAAAAAAAAAAGAAGACATGCATGTATATAATTTGAGAAACCTTAATTAAAAAAAGAAAGACCAGACGGCTTATTCTTTTTATCACATGGCAAGACTCAAGAGGATTGCGGCAAAGAGGACATGATCTGTTTAATTTGAGCCAACGCAGTAGACAAGTTTCATGGAAGAATCCACGACAACAATTTAAACGCATGTTGGAAAGGATTGATTCGGTCGACACAGTGCCAGTCAGATAAAATTCGGAGTCAAATTAAAAAAAAAATGGGATCTTTTTAAAAAATAAAACGGCTACTTTTATTATTTTTTTTACTAATTTTTATTTATTAATTTTTCTTAATTTTTAGACATTTTTGTTAATTACAAAACTTTTTTATTGGAATATTTTTTTTGATAATTATGTGGCTTTTTTGCTAATTTTGAGAGATTTTTTACTAATTTTGAGGCTTGATATTAATAATAAAAAATTCTCAACAAAGTGGGTTTCAAAAATATGAGGTCCAACACAAATGTTTTATAGAAATTGGTGAAAGGCTAGGCTTGGATCGACATCTCCTAAAAACAATAGCTCAATTTCTGTACGAAAGAAATTGGTTATCAAGTTGAAGTTTTGCCTTCAAATTAAACTAAACAGAACGATTAAATCTTCAAATATAACGCAAGATCAGGATGTGAAGTTACAAAATGCAGATTTTTCATGATAAAATAAAAAATTTGGTTAGGCAATGCATAACTGTGCAAATGAATAAACGAACCCCCATGCCAATTGGAACCACCATAAATGCCAAATGCATCATTTTCATTAACAAGAAAAAGTAAGAGAAATACATTGTTAAGAGTCCACATGTAAAGTTAAAATTAAATTTTTTGTGCATCCATCTACTTAATTTCAAGTTGTCGGCCATCAGCCTCTACTTCATATATGCGACCACACTTGCAGTTGCAAGCCAAATTCTCCACAAACTTATCTTCATAGTAGCGTCTCACTGTAGTTAAAGTCTAGAAATATAACACTCCTCGACTTACTAAGAATTTGTAATACCGGCCACATTTGCAATGTATGGTTAGTATCTCAGAACCATCTTCCAAAGAGTGCGATACCATGGTGTTTTCAAGTTTTTCAACCCACCAATTTTCAGTATCATCTCCACAAACATCGTTCTCAAATTTTCTTTGCTAACCTTAGCATCGACCGAGATCTTCCACTGCTCCTCCGTCGGATATTTGGTAATGTCAAGTCACTCGCTTGAAGAAAAGCTTCCTATTGCTTGATACTGCTTGGTATTTTTCACCGCATATGCAGTCCAAACGCTCACTTTGTATTTTCCCGGCAAAACAGCTCAATCTGGGTTTTTACCTCCTCAACGAAGAATTTTTCGATCAGAGACTCAAATACGTTTACCATCGATTGGGTCGGTGACAGTGGAAGTGGCGGTAGTTGTGACGGTGAAAGTGGCAATGGAAGTGGAGATAGGGATCAATTGCGTTTTTCGGAATAGGTCGCTTGGGCCTTCTCGGAACCTCGGAATCCATGTTAACCTAAAATTTAAGTTAGAGATATGTGGAACATGAACCCAAAAATAAAGTAATGAACAAACAGAAACCACTATTTATCTAAAAATTACGCCGAAAACACTAGATGAGTTCTTCAATTTTTCTCTCGATCTCAATAATTTACGCCGACCAGTAGTTTAGTTTTAGTAATATTCTAAATAGAGAAATAATTATTGTAAATTTTACTCACTAATTAAGTATGGTTTTACATGGTCGGATTAATTACATGAAATTTGAGTGTTATATTGCAAAATTAATTATGGGTCCAAATTATAATAAACTGAAAATAGATGGTGTAAAATGTAATTTATCTACAAAATTAAACGTTAGGATAACATTGGGATTTTTTGCAGGAATCGCCGGAGGGAGAAGCTATGGTGACGATTCTATCAACTCCTCCTCTCTCTCCAAGACTTACATTTCTCTGTGAGTTCTTCTCTCTCCCTGAAAACTCTCATTGCTCGTCTGATTCAGTAAGCTGGTTTCATAGGATTAAGCTTGTAAAATCTTGTAGGTGAAACAAAACTGTCATTATCTCGGAGCAGCAAACGCTCGGTATGTTGTTCATTGAGTGAAGAACCAAAAGACCAAAGGTAAAATTTGCAATCTTGAGAGATGATTTTCTTCCTTTTTGGTTTGATTCTGGAGATAAAGCAAGGTCTTTTAATTGCAGCTTGAGTCGGAGAAGTCTAGTTTATGTTTTGGTTGCTTCGCCGTGTTTGTTGTTTCCGGCGTTATCTTCATCTGCGAAGACTAAATCAAAGAGCCCTTATGATGAGAGACGGTTACTAGAACAGAACAAGAGGATACAGAGAGAGAACAATGCTCCTGACGAATTTCCTAACTTTGTTAGAGAAGGTTTAAGCTTTTTATTGCACTGTTTCTCGTTTTTTGAGTATTTATTGTTACTGGAAGAAGAATATGGGAACTTATTGTCCTGTTGTTTGTGTTTATGTTTTTGCTGATATAGTGCAGGTTTTGAGGTTAAGGTAGTAGCTTCAGAGAATTACATCAAGGCTGATTCTGGCCTCATATATCGAGATTTCGATGTTGGTCAAGGTGATTCCCCAAAAGATGGTCAGCAGGTACTTATTTCTCTATGTTCGATTAGTTAAACTTAGGATCTGAAGTTAGAGATCATTTATGGAATTGGTATGCTCTTTACTTGGATTGAATTGAAGACACCATTGAGTTTTATGACTGGTTTTTTACAGGTGACTTTTCACTACATTGGCTACAATGAGTCTGGAAGGCGAATAGATAGCACTTACATACAAGGCTCTCCTGCTAGAATTCGCATGGGGACCAATGCACTTGTTCCAGGCAAGTTAAAAGACATTAACTTGCCCTTTAATAGTATGATGCTAATGAAGAATCTTCTTTGACAGGAAACAGATTGAGGATTTTTAATACTATATGGATAATGATGATGCAGGATTTGAAATGGGAATTCGTGACATGAAGCCCGGTGGGCGAAGAAGGATTATTATCCCTCCAGAATTGGGACCTCCGGTTAGTGTTCTTACTTGATCCTTACATACATTGTTCTGAACTGTAAACTTTTGCTGAGCCATTCATTTGAATATACCATCACCTCTAATCAATCAACAATGTTTCAAATGGAATTACTAGCATGAGTGTGCTCCTTTAGGACATTCGTAGCTCGTTTAGGGACATGTGTAAACCAATTTTAAATTAGTCTTGCACTGTGTTAAACTGTCTTCACCTTGGTTGATCATACTTTTGACAAAAAAATGTTCATTTCTTGATCATTGGGCTCTGACCAGGTGGGACCTTCGACCTTCTTCAGCTCCAAGCAATTTGAAGTTTTCGACGTGGAGTTGCTCAGTATCCAGAATTGTGAGAGGAGGACAATAATAGGTTTCTACTCAGACGTCACATGCAGTTAACTTCTAAATGTTGGTCACCACTAAGCTTCAATGAATCTGCATTCACCATTACTCGAAACTCTATATCTTCACGGCAGATGAAAACTGCAAAGAAACAAAAAGAAGAAATCTTCTTTGCTTAGGCATTTATCTTATGGGTTTCATGTAGAGGTGCACAATTACATAGACAGAGATAAAGATCGTGTAAAGTCTCGACCTTTTTCATAATCGTAGTTTACTTTTGTTGCTTGGTTGATCACGTTTTAAGCGTTTTGGTTTCTTCTGCCTCCTCCCAAATCTGTGCGTTCGTCAAGTTAAAGCAATGCATTATTTCGTGAATTTTATATTTTCTACCCCAAACTTTTGGCACTCTTTAGGAAACACCCCAAACAATAAATAAATTGTACAAAGATACATTGAAATTTGGAACGGTAGATGTGCAATGCGATGCTCCTCACATTTGGAAAGTTAATTACCAAAATTTCATCTAAAGACGTTAAGACATAATTATATGTGGAAACTATAGTTTGGAAGTAAAAGTAACGAAATCGATAAAAAGGGTAAATGTGTAATTCCGACATATCCGCTAAACCCTTGGCCTTAGCCAGAGGGTTCGGTTTCAGTTTTCTTTATCCCCAAAAAAACCCTAAACTCTTCTTGTCGCCGACTTCTCTAACTCCTTTCCAGAAATCAAGTTTCAGGTCATCGGTGAATTGTTGTGTTCCCGGCGACTTCTACTTTCATCTTTCTCCTCGACGTAAAGGGTTCCCTGTATTTCACGTGAGAATCTTTGGCTTTTTTTTTTCCTTTTCGTTTCGTCGGTTCAGTTCATAGGTTTGAGAATGTTGGATTAGATTCATACTTCCGATTAGGGTTTCAGTTTCAATTCGTTAAGTAGCTTAAGATCATGTTTAATTCTAACAGTTTTGTGACTGCAATTGCAGCGTTAGAGCAATTCCAAGATGTCGTCGCTGCGTAATGCTATTCCACGTCCTGCTCATAAGGAGCGATCTCAACCGTAAGCTATTATTGCTCTTGTCCTTGTTCGGTTATTTGCCAAGTTTCTCTTCTTAAAGTTTGGATTTTTTAAACCTATCTTCAGGCAAGCGAGGAAGAGGTTTGGCCTCCTTGAGAAGCATAAGGATTATGTTATCCGAGCTAATGCTTATCACAAAAAGCAGGAAACTTTAAAGGTAACTGTTATACACTCTGTTTTCAATTGCATCTCTCCTAGTCGAGATTATGTTATGGAGTCTTTCAAGTAGACATTTGTTAGCTTAAGGGATTGATTGATATCTGTGAGATAGCTAAGAAACTAAATCGTTGGGAGTTTCTCTTACACCGTTTTAATTTACTGCAGATACTTAGGCAGAAGGCGGCATTCAAGAATCCAGATGAATTCAACTTTAAGATGATTAATAGTAAAACAGTTGATGGATATCATAGACCAAAGTAAGCATATCAAGAAACTCTTCGTTTTATCATTTTTATTTTCACTATTTCTTTTGGTACTCTCATGGTTTCTCTTTTTCTTCTTGGTCTGTAAATTCTGACAAAGATATTGTTTTCAGGGATGAGGTAAATAAATACTCTGCGGAAGAGCTCATGATCATGAAGACCCAAGATATTGGATATGTGTTCCAAAAATGGCAGAGTGAGAAAAACGTAAGTTATTCTTCCTCTTTCACACCCCAAGAGCATTCTTTTTACAATCATACATATCCATTTTTCTCTTTGTTCCTTTTTATCTTTTGTAGAAAATTGAAAAGCTGACTGCATCACTGCAATGTACTGGGGGTCAGTCGAGCCGTAGACATGTTTACTATGCAGAAGACAGGTTAATCCCATCATTTTAGTCCTTTCTTTACTTTGTGTAGCTTTCATGAGTTTCTCATTCATTTTGAATGTTTCACATGGACACTGGTAAATTTGATCCTCCTTACCTTAACATTTAAAAGACATTAGCGGTACCACATTGTTTTGTGTTTTCTTATGATCTTTTTTAACTCTGGTGTTTCTTTATCAGAGAGGAGGCTAGAGAACTAGAGTTTCAAGGTAGAAGCAAAAGCGATATCTCTGCAGTAGAGATTCCGAAAGATATTAAGAAGTATGTATCTGAAATGAATTAGATGTTTTCAAAGGTATCAAACGGACAATCAATAGTCATTATCTTCTATTTTCTTAAAACAGGAAAATGGATAGGTCCTATAGAGACCTAGAGGCACGGAAGAGCAGGGCTAAAGATTTGGAGAAGTTATACACGGATATGTCAATGCAGAAGGAATTACAGGTTATCATCAGTCCCCCAAACAAATAACTGTTTCTTGGTATGCAACTAGAACATCTCTGATTAAACTCTTTTAATGGACAGAAAAAGGGTCGCAAACGTAAGCTGCGTGATGACGAGGTACTCAATCCAAACGGTAAACCGGTATACAAATGGCGCGCTGATAGAAAACGCTGAAGAGAAAAGCTTTCATGATTGTGTAGCTTGACATCATTTTTCGGACCTCTACTGAAGTTTATATAGCAGAGAGTTATTATAGTTTTTATCTCCAGAACCTGCAGAACGTTAGATAACATTTTGGATGGGACAATTTTTGTTTACTTTAACTCTTTGTTGCGTATCTGGAAAAGTTTTTTTTTTTAATTTGATTGACGAAATTTAAATTAAACACATGAATCCAAAATAGAAGATTGAAGACTTCAATTTTTTTACCACTAACATAAAGTTCGGCTTACAACAAAAAAAACTGTTTGTAAATAGCAATTAATGGGCCCTTTTCTTCTGTTTGGCTTTTACCAAAAATATGCAAATCTTACTCAGTTTTTAATTATTACAAGTAAATGCATTAAATGGATGTTTTAAATTGATTTTAATGTAAAATAAATATTATTGCTTAGGTGGATGCTTAGGTGGACACCCTAGATGGAGAGAAGACTTTCTAATCCCAATGCGCGGGATTTTACTTATAAACTATTAACAATATAAGCCGTGAATATAAATATATATATATATATATATATATATTTAATTTTAAAAGATAAATCTATAATGACATAAACCTATTTATGAAATGATATATAACATAGATTTTATTGAGAATAATGTTTCTCTTGAAAAAAACAATAAATTTTTAGGTAACACGTGGTAAAAAATTAGTTGAAAAAATTCAGAGAAATATAATACAATCTTGACTATGTCATGTTCATACATCTTTTTGAATTTAGTCAATTTCTCTTGAAATTATTTCACTGTCATTTTATTCGTCATATTCTAATATGCAGTCGTCCACCTCGCGACATTTTATCTCTTTTCACGTTCTTTTCGTTAAAATAATTGATTAAATTTTTGATTCATTATAAACTTATATTAAAATTATATTCTCTTTATCTATTTCATTTTTATATTTTATTTTTTCTTGTCTATTATAAAATGTTCTTTTTCCTACATATTAAATTTTATATTTGTATTCTTCCTATTCTCATACATTGCATTTTCCATGAAACATTGCACTCTAACGTTATTGTTTAAAGAAATCTTGTATCTAATTGTACTTTTAAATCAAAATTCTTTCCTTAAATATATTATACAATTTTATATATATTTTATCTTGATTTTGGATACATACTTTTTTCTTGAAAAATAGATATTCTTATTTCGTGTAATCTAAATTCTATAGTTTACTATCATATAAACTTTTTTTAATCTAAATATTTATAACTCTTGAAAAGGTTAATGTCTTTCTAGCGTGATAACATATTTTTTTGTTTTCTACTTCTCATATATAAATTATATGTATTTGAAAATTATCTATATGCTTCTAATTTTTATTCATATTTTTATCTTATATATTGTTGTGCTGTGTTTTATTAATTCATTAACTTCTATTTTTGAATTATCTATTTGTATATTAACTTCTATTGACATATTTTTGTGTGTTATATTATATTACTTTGTATTAAACAATGTTATTGTTTATAAAAAAATATTTTCTTTTATTAAAAGATGATAATATAAAAGTATGTGAATTTTTTTTTAATGTTTCTTCGTTTAATAAATAAATTGAGTAAAAGTTTTATAAAGTCATATATATAATTTAAATTTTGATATCAATCAAAACGATTTAAATGGCAATTTGGTTTGAAATGCACCTATTAAATGTATTGGGTAAGGGGTTCGAATCTTTTTGGTAACATTTTATACCTATTAAAAATGTATGATGACGTGTACGCTAATGTGTCGCCTATGTGGACACTCTAAATGGAGAGAAAACTCTCTCATTATATATATAGATTTTGGTTTTTGTTTAAGTGTTAGATTTTGTTACTTAAAAAGAAAAAAAAATATTGTTTCAGCCTTTTTAATTTATAATTTATTTACTCTATTTAAAGAGAGAAAGAAAACAAAAGCAATGGGACTTTAAATGATTTGGTACTATTGCTGTTTTAGTACAAGTTTAAATTTTGAATCAAATCCTAACTATTAAAGAAAAACAGCCATCTTTGGCATAAAACACATGGCATTCATAGCTTATGATATTTGCTGTTTCTACTAAAAACAAATTAGTCTTGAATTATTTTTAAAACATCATAAAAAGCCATTTTGGTAAAGGGAAATTAAAGGCATAAAACACATGCCACCCCTGTGTTTATGATATGCGTTATTAGTACTTCAAAAATAGAATAAAATCTCAAATGAGTTACAATTTGTCAGAAACCTATTAATTGTTTATATAAAATATACTTAAAATTAATTATGTATCTAGCAATAAGATTTAAAGTAGATACATTATGAAATTATTGATTAAAATATAAAATGACTAATTAAAAAAAAGGACGTGATACACCACTTTTCTATACTTCAATATAAATATGCCAAATTTTACTGTTTATCCGTTAAATTAGTTATATTTTCAACTATAATTTAAATAAATTAAAATATAATATACATATAAACGCGCGAAAACTCTGTTAATCAACGTTATATTAGTTTTCATAACAAGTCATTGTGATATTATTGTTAGATACTAATTTATCACCGGAAAAACGTCTATTATTTTAGAACATAAATTATTTATCAAATTTTTAAAAATGAAATGGCAATATTAAGGAAAAATCTAAATTATTAACTTTTATAAAAAAAAAAGAGAAGAAAAGAGGAGTGGTAATTGGGTAATATATAATGTACCGTGCAAAGGAGGTGATTGAAGCTCTTGTTACAATTACAATGCCTATATGAGCTGTGGTTTCA